TTTTCCCGCATGAGCACAGCTGCGCTGTCTACAAATATAGAGCCCATTGCCTGTGGTTTTAAAACTGTTTCAGTGTAATTGTGTGCTTCTGTGAGTTTCTGTGGGTAACAGGAACAAATGAGGAGATAATGAAAGAAGTCCGCCTGGGGAGAAAATCAAACAGTCAATTTTTTTTTTATTTATTTATTTATTTTTTTGCTCCTTTTTCCTGAGCTCAGCAGTTTTTGAGATGTGAGATTTACATGATTCAACACGAACGTACAGTATGAATTTGGATTTTATTGTAATAAGAACACATCCTCACTGGGGCATGCACTCTGATGTATTTCAGCTGAAATGAGTTGCACCCCTAAAGTCCTATGTGTGGAATAATAAGATGTTATTACAAAAATAAATGGGAAGTCAGAGAGGGGGAAGGGTGGTCATTCAGAGAGTTTTAAAAAAACCCTCAATAAATCTATTCAAATGACCTCAAATCTATATTTGCGACTCCACCCAATGCATTCAGTGATCCCTATCCATCTTGTACACCGTCGTACAGTTAACATGACTATGAGACTTGACCAAAGTGAGATCTCAATCATTCGCAAATCACATTTTTATTGTCATTGTTGCTGACTTCTTCATGTTGACACATTGTCAGCAAGAAAAGAGGTGAGGGAGAAAGCACTTGGCAGCTTCATTGTGTGTGTGTGTGTGTGTGGGAATAAAAACGAAATTCTACTGGACATGAAGTCTGTTCAGCACAATAAACTGGCCAATTATTTCTGAAGTGGCAGGGGAGTGTTTGAAATGTGAGCATTTTTCCCTTTATACAAAACCACTGACTGGGAATAAATGACAAGCACGTAAACAAGACATTGAACTGACGACTTTTCCTTCACCCACTCATTTTTTTTTGACTTAAACTAACACACGTAATAGGCAGATATACAATTGACTACTTGAGCTGACTGCTCAGTACTGCATTCAGCAATGTGTGTGTTTGTTCATAGTGCACACAAATCCCTTTCATCTGAAGCTGCGATTGAAAGGTTGGCTGCTGTATCATAAAGCTGTGTTGTTTGACATTTGATTAAATAGCATTACTGCCAATCAGCGGAGTAAAATATCAGGCATCGGGTCATACGGGTTGCAGAGCCTTAGCTTCGTTGTTTATTGGGTTAGCATTATAAATCTGTATAAAAGTTCTCACAAGACATACGATGTTATGCAAAACTGACTATTTAATTGCTTATATTCAACTAGTTGTGTCTCCGGAATGCATGCACGCCCATGAAGAGTGAAGTTGTACAAGCAATTATGTTTTGTTTTTTTTTGCTGGCTCTAGATGGTATGTCAGAAGTCATTTCTTTCTGCAAGCAATTCAGCTGTTGGCCCCTGTGATGTCACAGTCTGGCTAATCAAATAACGCTGTGACCAAACAAAGTTTGTTGGGTTGTTGGGGTGACAAACGCGAGCAGGAAATCGCATAAACAATGTTTACAGTCCATATTTTTTAATGTTTTAAGTTATGAACAATTGAAATTTTGTTTTCACAACACAAAAAGAGCTACTATGAAAAAAATCAAATGAAAATTAAATAACGTTTTTTTTTTTGTTTTTTTTTAAATAGATTCGCGCCTCATGTGGGCATCCGTGAGAATGGCTGTATATGTCTGTACTTTCTCCAGCAGTCATGTCTCTTTCTGCTAGGAGTCTCATTCACAAGTCGTCAAGGTAATGTAAAGCTGTGATGGTGACTTATTTACATGAGAGAGGAGAGTGCCCCAAAACCGGTTAGTTCTCAAGAGAGGATGATAAGTGCGCTGTAACACTTGATCCTTGGGGTATTGTGACGAAAGCACGTCACATAATTTGTACACAGAGACCTCTTTCAGTTTGGGGAAAATACATTGTCTCCTTTAAGTAAGTGTGAATAGTTTGCCAGACCAAAGGTACATTCGTAAAACAAAAACAACAAAAACGTGGGAATATGTGTTTCCCCACATTCAACAACCTTAAAAAAAGAAAGAATAAAATCGATCATTAGATCAGCAAGCAGAATCATACTTGCACCATTCCATACAATACCGTATTCAAAAGTGGAACAGATGTGAGAAACATGCTCAGCTATCTCTATCCAATGTTCATTTTCAGCCAACTGTCACTAAACAAGGTCAGCCACTGATGGTCTAACAAGAACGAGAGTGTCAGATATCGAGGAAGGAGGGCGGCAGCCGTATTTATTTGTTTTCAGGTCAAGCTACTTGCACAATAAAAGGTTGACCCATGACCCATCCGTCCATTAATCAATGTAAAGATGAATAAATGAATGGTATACATGGCAGCTGGCTTTTTAACAGGCTCGCCTCAACTGTTCAAATCACTTCGAAATCATTCGCCATCGGTGGGGGCGGGGGGCTGATGGATCAGCCAAATGGAGTTTGAAACCTAAAGAGTGACCGGGGGATTGGAAAGTAGATGAGGGGGTGATGAGTGCGTGGCAATCTGCCACTGGTGTGGGAGGTCTCCATTACAAGGGGACAGGGTTAAAGTGGAAGACAGAGAACGTGTATGGTGAAATGGGGTGGGAGTGGAGGGATTTTAGAGGGGAAATGACGAAAGCGAGACAAGTAGAAAGTAGTGTAACAAGTAATCGGACAGCTTTACTACTGGACAACGTGTTGATGTGGGTGGTCTGGGAGGGCCAAGGAGGGGTGACACTTAAGAAATGGGATGTGTTGTTTTCGTGTGATGGTGATATCTAATGTCGAGAACCTGTGGAGGTGAATAGACTAGATGGGATGTCTGTTTTGGCCTTCTCGGATGGATGGATACGGAGAAGAATACCTCTCCTCAGAATTGGAATCGTGTTGGAAACAATATTTTGATGTAGTGATAATTTGACCATTATGCCATTTGCGCTGTATGCATTGGAAGTGCAATGAATATCAAGTTCATTGTTACCTTGTCATCCACCATTTTTTTTTTTAGTTAACATCTCAGTTGCACTGTTCTCAGAAACAAAAGAATATCTGGTAGACATGATCGTAAAATCATGGAGACTGAAACGACAGGGAAAAAGAGAGAGAAGGATGATGGAGACAGAAGAGAGGGAGGAGAGGGAGTAACTGGGCACTCTATTCTTTTCTCTAATATTGATTAGGATCTGACACCATACGTGACACCAGATGTCAACCAAGCAGTTTAAGTTTCTATCGGTTCAGTTAAAGCTGTCAACCCTCATATGACTCACACTTTTATTTATTTTTTTTAACCACAAAAACTGTTTTATTAAACTGCTTCGGTGTGTGTGTGTGTGTGTGTGTGTGTGTGTGTGTGTGTGTGTGTGTGTGTGTGTGTGTGTGTGTGTGCACGTGCATGCGTGTTATGCATTTCCTCAAAAAATCATGACATACGAGAAATATCACATTTATTAAATTTTTTTAATAGGTGCACCCAGTACTATTTGCAACAATGCAAAGATAATGAAATAATTGAAATATTTCATTCTTTAGTCCAAAAACAAAATTATATTTGGTTTAATGGAAACCTGATTTTGTGATTCTACTGTATATTTTCTGCACTTAGATTTTTGCCCTCCATGTAAAAAACAAACAAAAAAAAAACATTTTTTTCTGAAACAATTTGCATATATGTTCTCCTTAATGTTAACCAATACTAGATGCCAAGTGTATATTAATGTCTGCATCATGCTCAACTTTTCATATAATAATGCCGTGTCCATAGCATTCTACACGATTGTGTGCATTTAGATATCTGTGTCTCTGGGTGCATTCTTGCATGCACCGCATTTGTATTGAAGTGGATGTGGTAAGTGGTCTTAAATCACATTTCATTTCATGTGTGGTGCAGATGCGATGTCCACACCAGTGCTGAAATGTCACAGCATTAATACGGTGTGACTATGCCCAGTCATGCATTAAGATTTTGATGTCACATTATAGAGTGTTTAGTTCTGCCTTGATGGGCTGCTGTGCATGAGAATTTTTCATTTACATGACTCAATTGCTAACTTTATGTTTTAAATTATGTTTTAATATCTCCCAAATTGTAAAAAATATATACAAAGTATACTTTATTTCAAATGTCAATATTAAAGCTAGAAAAAAAGGATAAGAACTGTTTTTTCTGTTAACATTTAAAAAGCAATTTATACTGTCTGTGATGAAGCCTTTTTTTTTTTTTTTTGGTGCATTTTGAGTTCTGAACAGCCTGGTTGCAATATTTCAGACAGCCAGGAGGTGGCAGCTTTTCTACTGTTTCCACAAGCTCCAAACTGACTTCGTCCGGTTGGGACGAGCTGAGAAATTTACAGCATTCATCAACAAAATGTACACGGGTGAATAATAGATTGTTTGAATTTAGAGATGTAATATTTAAAAGAATCCTGCGGTAACTTTTGCTGTCACATGTGTGCTTCAAAAAGGTGTGGTTTACTCAAAGGAATATGTGATCTGAAACCGTGGAAACCTATATTGGAAAATACACCCCAAATCATTTTGATTTTCGTATCTAGTAATTTTAGTTAGTTTGTGTTTTATGTTTGCACAGTATACTTGTTTGTTTGAGAAGTCAGCACCAATTTCCTCTCAGAAGTGACTTTGAGAGGTCAGTATTGCATTGCTGTGCTTTTTGTTTTAATCTGCAAACACCAAGTTGTGGGAACATAGCGAATAATCAGCCGTCATCATGCCTGTAAAGCTGTTTTAGTTACACAGAGAACTCTCCCACGGGGTGTTTTGTGGCCATTTAGTCCCCCGTCTTTCTCCGCGAGAGGTCACACACCCACACAGACAGTTTACATTTCCTGTGTCACAAAAGCAATACAGTGCAATTTCCCTGCACAAAATACCCCCTCTGGTCACTGGCAACACAATGACCTTTTCATTCTATCGGCGCACCTCGCGCTCATTCTCCCTCTTGTGATTTTAACAATGACAATACATCTTTAGATGAATATACACTGATGTGTTTTCTTTCATTTCCTCACCGCAGATCCCCTCAAAGCGTTCCAGGAATTGAGGATAATCCTCTTGAAAGAAACATGGAAAGGTAGAGATGCTGGGCGTGCGTCTTGAAAGCAAAAAAGGGGAACTTCATAGATGACCCGAGTAGTGAATGTGTAAGATGGGCAGCGGGACTTATTCCCCCTTGACTTTACCCTCTCCTTTCCACACTTTTCTCCTCCCACCTCTGCAATTGAATGATGACAATTTGTATTTTTTGCTTCTTCTACAGATGCCCACTACTTGTATTTGTCCTCATATCATTTTTTTTTTTTTAAATGTGCTTAGTCTAACTAACTGCTCATCTAAATTATTTGCGTGTTTTTTTTTTTTTTTTGGGCAACTAGTGACTATAGCTCTCTTTCTGGGCTCTGTCGGTTGTTACTTCCCCCTGGCATTCCCCTGCTCTATATTCTTCTCCGTACATCCACAATATACACTTACGCGCACATGAACAACACATTCTCAGTCTAATACAAGGTGTTTCCAGACCACTGCATCTCTGTTTCAGTGGAACAAGACTTACCGTGATTTGATGATTGGCGAAGTTGGCAAAAGTTAACTTGATCATGTGCTAGTATGCAACGTGTGTTTGTGTGTATGTATGTGTGTGTGTGTGTGTGTGTGTGTGTGTGTGTGTGTGTGTGTGTGTGTTTGTTCTACATCACAACATGCAAGCAATTATAGGTTCTATGTTTAAAACAAACAGTTAGTGCTTTGAGCAAATAGAATAAAATTAACTTGACAATAATATTTGCTCTCTTTTCAGAATGTTTATGACAAAAAATTTGCCGTAACATTTTGGTGCACTTGGTTCACTTTGATGCTCAGAGTCTTGACTGCCTTTTCACACGACCTTCCTGTTTCCTATGGTTTGATCCATGCCTAAATCGTTCTGCTCTCCTTATGTATGCATATGAACAAGTTTCCATTCATGATAATGTCATGTTGTGGGGATATTTTTTTCCGCAAGTGCAAGCACATCAGGAGGGTGGGTTGGGTCGGGCATCGACTATGTCGACTGTGTTCCTTTGACATTTGTGTTTGGTCGGCAGGCAATCTACCAACTGTCAATCACAGACAGGCGACCCAAGTTGGGAATCATCAAGGAGTCTGACTTGGGGTGTCAGTGCTGAGAAGGATCTATTTGAGCGCGACACGCTATCAGCGGCAAATCTGAAGATGGGTCCATTGTCAGACTGGATGCACATATTCATGAGTGAGCTACGCTCACATCCATGCTTTTATATTGTTTTGTCTTTTCCTTGGGCCGTTGCACATGGTATTTAAACATATGCCACTTTTAAATTACAATAAATGGATTGAAAAGATTGATCATGTAAAGAGCTGCCATTTGGTAAAGCCTAAGATGACTTCTTGCACTTTTTTTTACCCTCTCACATGAGAACAAATATTTGCATGTATTAATTTGGCTTTGATTTTTGGACTAACATTTCCCAGTTCATCAAAGTGATAAAACAAAAACACCAGATCAGAGTCAAACTAATCGAAACAGATTTACTTCCTTCCAACTGCTCTTCGATTGCTTTTTATGAGACTGTATTAAATCAGCAATGCCCCCTCAAGGCTTATGATCATTTGAAATCGATTGATAGAAAATGACTTTTCCACAGGAATAAAGCATCACACTTTGCCTAACCTTTGAACTTTGGCCACACTTGCCTCTGGCTCAACGGCGCAGACGGCTGCTGGGGTTCAGTGTGACATCAAGATGCGTTTAGGTGTGCTCATGCTTTAAATATGGAAATAAAGTTTGTTCTGTTTTCTCTCCATCAAAACGCATAGAATTAAAGCCTCTCACCGTATGATATTATAATGGGAAAACAATGTTCCCTCCCGTCCCAAAATGAGGTACACCTACACAATTTGAAAGCTGTACCAGAAAGAAAAAAAAAAATCTCATTTTTGACAAGAGGATTCAATCACAATGTGCCTGCACATGTGTTTTGTCTTGAAGAAAAGTACCGATTCTCTAATGGAACAGAAAAGATTGTATTAATAAGAACTCATGTATCTTTGCCCCTTTATCTATGTCAGCAACTTATAGTGACAGAAAGAACAAATAAATGCTCTCCTTGTAGGTGGCAAAAAGTATGAAATTGACATATGCATCCTCTTTTTGTGACACCTTTGTTTGATGGCGTGCCATCTGATTTTCGAAGTTAAATATGTGCCTTGGCTCAATAAAGGTTGGAAATTACCGGCTTTTGGAAATTACCTAACCCCCTTCAATTCTGCTTCTGTAGATTGCAAATTTCCCCAGTGTGGGACAAATAAAGGTTCTCTTATCTTATCTTATCTTATATTATCTTAAAGTATGGCTCAACTCTTAACTGACCGTGATTTAAATGAAATCAATTTTAACGAAAGTCATATTGGATTATCAGAAAACAAGACGTTTGTGTCTCCTATGGTTATTTCTACATCATGTAGATAGTGGGATTGTTTGTATTAATGATGAAGGCAGAAGTAACCATTCATGTTTTGTTTATGACGCTTGAAGCACAGTGAAATCCATGCTTTCTTAACCTACAGTCGTACAGCGGTTGGAGGACCACCCGCCTTGAAAATGTGTGTCTCCATTGCGAACAAAACGATTCCCAACTGTAATCAATCTCACGCTTGGCAACGTTGCACGAATCCTTCTTTCCTGTTTTCTTTACTTTTTTTTTCTTTGTTTCTTTGTTTGTTTCTGTCTTTCTTTACGCCAAATCTTAAGACTGCAATCGACATGACTGGTTTGGAGAATGAAGATGTTTTTTGTTTTTTTTGTTTGTTTCATTTATTTAGACCACAACACATGTAAACATTCAGAAATGCCACAAATTTTCCAACTGAACAGTTTTAAGTTATAACTTGACTGCTGTTTCTGTACTTGTTAATACACTAATATGGACAAGTTTTTTTTTTGATGATGTTTAGAAATAAGAACATGAATATGACTTTGTCAATTGTTGCATTCCGAAACATAAAAAAAAAAAAAACAAAAAAAAAAAACGTTAATTCTCTAAGAATTTCTGTCTTCTCAAAGAGGCCCAGTGAACTGGCTCAAATTTAGGTACTGCATATAAAGTTGTGCATTTGGTTTGAAATTTATCATTCCTGCCTGCAGTAATGATGTTGGGTGGTCTCATTTTTATGACAGGTGGTCAAATTCATTAGTTAAGCAGTATATTTTGCCCCAAAATACTAGGAGGCATGCAGGTATAAATGAGTGTACCTCTATCAGGAGTGTATTTTGACAGAATGAGAGATTGTACTTTTGAGCCATGAAATTGCAGACTGGTAAGCCGTAGGCGATCACCAGGTGTGACTGATGCAACCAGGGCTTGCTTGGACAAATGTAACAGAGCGCACCAACATTCCTTCCTGTCAATCATATTATAAAATGCATTATATGGGCTAAAGTTTTTGGAGAGACTTTGCAATCAGTGAATTGATCAATAAAGGCTATGGTTCCGACCTAAAAACCATGATATGCTTTTCTTTTATGTCATACCCTTTGCATTTTGAAACAAACTTCCTGCTGAGTGTTTGATACTTTACGAAACTTATATATTTTTTTTGTTGTAACAAAAAATATCTGACAACAAAGTTATCATTCAGGTACCTTTTTTGTATTTATTTGCAAGATATGTTTCCATGTAAAAAAAAAAAAAGATGTATAAAATAGCCGTGATGAACTCTAACAGAGGACGCATGGTTAAAATACAATACTGACAATGACGGAAGTCTTAACTTCTTAATCCAAATTTAGATGCTGTTTTTTTCTGCAGCTTCAATTGGGATCTGATTGCCTTTCTCTTTGCCTGTCCTGTGATGCCCACCAGTGTGACCCCCCTACAGAGAGAGTGAGAGAGAGAGAGAGATAGAAGTAAATCCTCTGCAGCCCACCTCCAAAGGCTCATTGTGGGTTTGCCCTCGACTCTTCCACCAGCTCCAGGTACTAGGCACCGTTCATCTTGTTGGCCACCACCATGCGCTCCGCTCAGGGAACTGTGAGCTTCAGCATAATCGGTTACTGAGTGGAAAGTGACATGATCATGTCTGGTCAAAGCCGCGTCACTGCTATTCTGGCCAGTTTCCACTTCCAGCTTCCAGTCGGTGGCGGTAGTGACGAGACCAGACGGTGGCTTTGATGGTGCACAGAGCTATTCTGCGCCTTTATGAAACATGATTGTCTTCGGCTTGTGGTGTCCCTTGATGGTGCGGATGGCAGTTTCTATGCTCTCGGTGACTGTCCGTAGTATGGTGTCAAGGTGCCAGAAATAATGGCCATCTCCAAGGAACTTTAGGCTCCTGCTAAGCAGGTCTTCAAAGCCTCCCTTTCAAGACAGATGGCACAGTTATGTGTTTCACTTGACTCGAGACATGGAGGTTTGCTGGATTCGGAAAGATGTCGTAGATAGCTCGGACTAGTAAATTGAGCAAATGGAAGTCTGCTTACCTGATGTTGGGCCAGGTCGATCTTTCTTTGCAGCACCTTCTCCCATTGAGCTCCTTGGTGTTCCATTCCCAGACTGCTAGTTTGAACTTCTTTCCCTTATGGCTGTACTGTACTTGACACTGTTTGACTCAGGCTTTGTCAACCAATTTTTCTCCACACAAAATAACATGGGAGACAACATTCTCTCGGAGTTGACATCCACACTGAATACTTAATTACAGATTATCTGTGGAGATTTAACTGTACCGAGCAACTCTTACTGTACCGTGACTATTACAGTGAATGAACGTTGCTGTGAGGGGCCTTTAAAATGTCTCCCTGGATTATCACACCTGTCTTTTAGCCACTGAGATGTATGACTCTGTCCTAGCTGCACATCACAGTGGCATTTACTACCAGTCAGTGTGTGTGTGTGTGTGTGTGTGTGTGTGTGTGTGTGTGTGTGTGTGTGTGTGTGTGTGTGTGTGTGTGTGTGTGTGTGTGTAGCATTTCATGAGATCTCACGATTCCACAGTTTAACTTTTCAGCTTGCTAACATTAAAATGTGCGGTCAAGCTATGGCCATCTCTGTTTTGCAACATAATCAACACAGTATGTTGGCTCTCCTGATAGTGAATGATATTTTGACGATAATGAATGAAAAAATGTTGGTTGATTTGAAAAAAAGTATCGCTGAGTGGGAACCGAGGCCACGTTGCGCGCACACAAGTCGGGCGAGTTTATCACTACACCATTAGCAACTTATTTAGTTCTTAAAAAACACAAAAACAAAAACAATATTACCTTTGTACTGCAATCCAGTTTGTGATTTATTTTTGTCTTCTGCTTGGATAATAAACTTGATTGTCAAAAGTTTTGTGTATGCGCCACTGGGCGGGGAAACACAGGCAACTATTTGGCCATCAAAACACCTCTCTGAGTTTCTGTCTCTTTTGGGTGACAATCTTCCATCATCGTAGAGTGGCTTTTAATTAAGAGAACTCCACAGGACGTGACATGAGTCCATCTGAAATATACATATGTTCATTCTCTTGGGAAACAATATGACTGCAAAGGCATGCCTGTTATAAATAACATTGCCATGAAATTTCATCCTATGCATCAGTAATTTGATTCTGTCTATGGAAGTCAGATTGAAAATAGAAGTGCAGTGTCACACAGGGGTAATAAGCATATTGAATCTGACCGTTATTTTGTGTATACACTCAACTTGTGCACATACTGTAGTACGAACATTCCTATGAATTTATTAGTGAGCGCTATTCGGATATGGTTTGCATGTTAGTGGTCCGTATTTAGATTTTACAAAGCATAGCGACATTTGTTTATTTGAATCCGAAAGGCACTACAACACTTCACCAAAAATAAGACGATTAAAACATGGATCTGTTCAGAACTTCAAAACACCTTGAATAAATAAACAGATCAACTTTATTGAAATGATCATCAATAATAGTGAATTTGCACTGCTCGTCCAAGCAGAGGGATGACTCCAAGCTATTGGAGATTGAAGTTAAGATAAAATATTGACCTTTAAATGTCAGCTTTTAAAAGGTAAACAGAGTCAAAATGCTTCTACCAATAAATCGGCCTCGAGAGACCAAAGGGGATGTGTAGCAGGCAGCATAATACATGTGGGGAGGGGGTAATGAATTGGAAGGGATGTAGAAAATGTGAAGCTCTGAGCACGGCCCTTTGAAATGTACTGGGACTTCTCATAAAATCCTGCTCAAATGGCCACTGGAGCATCTTCATCCACCAGAGATCGGTATTCCCCAGCTGATTAGGATGTTAAATTGAATGAGAATAGATAGTTACGCCTCTCACTTGCATTTGGCAGAATAATCAAGTTAAAATTACTACCGTC